GCGTCTCCAACTCCTCCTCTGAATGAGCAGCTATTACCAAATCATCAGCATATATAACGTGGTTGAGCAATAGGGAGCCATCCTTTGACCGCACCCGGGCATCGATCAGCCTCCCATTATATCTGTACCATATGGAGATTCCCCCAGTACAGCTATTGAAGGCTTCACGAACTACGTGGTCAAAATAGATGTTAAATAATGCGGGAGCCAGAGGACATCCCTGTCGCACCCCAAGGTGTACAGGGAATGGCTCTGACTCCCGGCCACGTAGTTTTACCCGGGCCCGCTCACCATCATGAAGGTCCTTAATGATCGTGAGCAGAGGGTCAGGTACTCCAAAAGCATGAAGAACAACCCAGAGCCCAGGCCTACTGATGGTATCATAGGCCTTGACCAGGTCAATAAAGCAGAGATGTAGGTCTTGTTGGAATTCCCTACACCTCTGCTGTAGCAGAGGGACAGAAAATATGGCATCTGTGCAGGACCGCCCTTTCCTGAAACCGCATTGGGGCTCCGCAAGCCTCTCCTCAGCGTGCCTGGCAAGGCGATGTTGAATAATCCTTGCCAGGACCTTTCCCGGCACACTGAGGAGTGAGATGCCCCTGTAGTTGTTACAGCCTGTGCGGTCCCCCTTCTTAAAAAGGGGGACCACCAGGGCATCCTTCCAATCCTGCGGAACCCGTCCAGTGGTCCAGACTGTTGTTATGATGTCATATAGGGCAGTCTGTGCACAAACGCTACCCTCCCTCAGCATTTCGCTTGGGAGATCATCTCTGCCTGCTGCCTTTCCTGGTCTCAGACTCCTGATCGCCTTCAGTACTTCCTCAACAGATGGCACCTCAGCCAACCACTCACAGGGGGTGACTTCTTCCAATATTTGAGGCACCGCAGCCTCAGCAGGGTCATCCTCACTTTGTGCCATGATGTTTTCCTGGCTGATGGATTTTCCCTCCCCCAAGACCTCACAAAAATGCTCAGCAAATCTGCAAACCTGTTCCTGGGGGTCGGAGATTGGATCACCGTTTTTTCCCCTAATGATGGTAATAGGTATGGTGCTGCAGGTTACTTTTTTGATGGAGTTAAATAGAGATTTATGATCACGGGCCACTGAGGCAGACTCCATCTCCTCAGCAACCCGCGACCACCACCCATCCTTGCAGCGCCTCACGGCTCTCCGAACCTCCGAGCGAAGGCTGCGGTAAGCCTCCTCATTCTCTGACGTGGGATTCTGTAGCCGATGACAGTGGGCCTGTCACTTTTACTCTATCCTGAACACCTCTGTCAGCCAGGGTCTATGGGGAGGTCTGGACCGCGTACCCAAAGCAGCCATTGCAGCTGAATGAGTCACAGTCCTAAACTTTGCCCATTTACCCTCAACATCAGGAGGAGTGGGGGACGATACAAACCCCAGCCGCAAGCGATGATGAAATTCTCACTTGCAACTTTCATCAGCTGAGACCAGGCCCCTTTACGTTGGAATGGGGTCCTGGGTGTACACCCACCACCGGAGTGGAAGAATGGCAGGCGCATCTTACAGATGACTAGTCGATGGTCAGAGGGCAGATCAGCTCGACGGTAGGTCCTGGTGTCAAGGACATGGGCTCGCATCCGCTGGTCCATCACTGTGTAGTCCAGCAGATGTTCTTGCTTGGACCCGGCATGCATCCATGATGTTGTGTGGATGCGCTGATGCCGGAACAGTGTGTTGGTAATTACAAGCCCATGGGCTGCACAAAAATCTAGCAGCCTCCTACCGTTATTGAGCTGATCTGGCCCATGCCCTCCAATCACTCCAGACCAGGTGCCAGCATCATGACCAACTCGGGCATTGAAGTCACCCAACATGATGACTCTATCCCGAGGGGCCACTTTAGCCAGCACCTGTGACAGGAGGTCATAGAAGGCATCTGACTCATCGGCTTTGCCTGCATCCCTCCACGGATGTTCATCTTCGGTGGGGGCATAAGTAACCACGACCACCATTCCTCGCCTCCGGTTGATGGGAAGGTGAGCCCAAAGTAGCCTGGGGCTTACAGCTTCCCACACCTCACCGCCACGCTCCCATGCCCCCTTCATTCTTTTGTTCAAAAGAAGAGCCACACCCTGTTGTTTAGCAGTCTGCTGCCCCGAGTAGAGGACTGTCCACCCCTCATGGTGGCAGGAGCCAGAACCGGTCCACCGGACCTCCTGAATGCCACATAGATCCAGGCGGTACCGGTTCAGCTCCCGACAGAGGAGTGGCAGCCTCTCCTCCGCAGTGAGCGTTCGAACATTCCACGTGGCCACCCGTAGTGGTTTTTTGTTGTTTCTGGAGGAGCCCCGAGGGTAGAGATTCAATCTCCTGGCTCCGCCAATTGGGGTTTGGCCAGGAGATGTCATAGACTCCTGTCCCCCCGGGCCCTCCGGCACAAGCTTATTAGTTACATATTTCAGTTCAACTCGTGGTTTCGTGGTAATTAATTGAAGGTGGAGGGGTTACCAGCCCCTCGCACCCGTCCAGAGCCCCCGTTTAGCCACTGTGGTGGTCACAGACGCCATGAGGGGAGAGGCACAAAGACACACACGCTCACAAAGACACACGCTCACAGAGACACACACAAAGACACACACACACACGTGCTCTCTCTCGCTCTCTCTAGAGTCGAGAGCCAACCTCATCACAAGAGGCTCCGTCCGGCAGCAGTGGAACGAGCAAAGCTGTTGTCAGGGGGCTTTGCCTCTATTGGACATCCTGTGAGTAGAAGAGCATTTATAGCTCATCGGATTCCTCCTGCAGCAATACAAGATTCTGATCCTGTCATCGATAACCTTCGGAATCGATGCTCGTAGCGACGACAAGACAAAGATCCCCCGTGTAGCCTTTAGCAGGCTGTTGGGGCAAGTGCTGTTCAGCGAGCGCCTATGAAGGCCGGCACTGTGGCGCACGAGGGGGCGGGTGGCCAGCACCACGCCCGACCGCCTTTGTCTCCCCCAGTGGCGACGTTTACTACACGCAGCGCACCAGGTACCCATGTGAGGCTGAGTCGGCCTAGGGGGAGGCCCAGGACCGGTTCAGATGATCCGTCACCGATGGTATTGGTGGTCGTGAGAGGGAATTGAACTCGGGTCACAGCCCGATATGTAGCGCTAGTCGCTGCGCCACCACTCCCCCGACCAATACCAATCAGTATGACCGTCATTCGCCACGTGGTGATGACGGTGACATCACCACAGCGCGTGTGCCTGGCTAGGTGCACTTTGAGGCTATCACGTGAAGTGTCGAAGGCTCTCCGCTGACAGGAAGGTCACGGGACAGACCCAGCAGGTGCCACGGGTCGGCTGTGATGACCGGTAGATGCACCACCAGCTGTACCCCCTTGCTGTGCCAGGCTAGGTGCAGGAGGTCACGGGACAGACCCAGCAGGTGCCATGGGTTGCCTGACTGAGATGACCGGTAGATGCACCACCAGCTGTACATCCTGCTGTGCCAGGCTAGGTGCAGGAGGTCACGGGACAGACCCAGCAGGTGCCATGGGTCGGCTAAGATAACCGGTAGATGCACCACCAGCTGTACCCCCCACTGTGCCAGGCTAGGTGCAGGAGGTCTTGAGACAGACCCAGAAGGTGCCATGGGTCGGCTGAGAAGGTTGGCAGATGCACCACCAGCTGTACCCCCTTGCTGTGCCAGGCTAGGTGCAGGAGGTCACGGGACAGACCCTGCAGGTGCCATGGGTCGGCTAAGATGACCGGTAGATGCAGCACCAGCTGTACCCCCTGCTGTGCCAGGCTAGGTGCAGGAGGTCATGGGACAGACCCAGCAGGTGCCATGGGTTGACTGAGATGACCGGTAGATGCACCACCAGCTGTACCCCCTGCTGTGCCAGGCTAGGTGCAGGAGGTCACGGGACAGACCCAGCAGGTGCCATGGGTCGGCTAAGATAACCGGTAGATGCACCACCAGCTGTACCCCCCACTGTGCCAGGCTAGGTGCAGGAGGTCTTGAGACAGACCCAGAAGGTGCCATGGGTCGGCTGAGAAGGCTGGCAGATGCACCACCAGCTGTACCCCCGCACTGTGCCAGGCTAGGTGCAGGAGGTCTTGAGACAGACCCAGAAGGTGCCATGGGTCGGCTGAGATGGCTGGCAGATGCACCACCAGCTGTACCCCCCCCCCCCCCATACTGTGCCAACTCGCTGCGTTTTATCCGCCCGGCGCTCCGCTCGTTGTTGTGAGCAGCATCGCTCCTCTGCCCTCCGTTGTTGCTGAAGGGCGACTGCCTCCAATTGGCCAGCAGCAGCCTCCCCCACGAGCCTCCCCCGACACACAAAACAAAGATCCCCCGTGTAGCCTTATACAGACTGTTGGGGCAAGTGCTGTTGTGGGCAAGTGCTGTTGGGGGCAAGTGCTGTTGGGGGCAGGTGTTGTTGGGGGCAAGTGCTGTTGGGGCAAATGTTATTGAGGCAAGTGCTGTTGGGGCAAGTGCTGTTGTGGGCAAGTGCTGTTGGGGAAAGTGCTGTTGGGGCAAGTGCTGTTGGGGGCAGGTGCTGTTGGGGGCAAGTGCTGTTGGGGGCACGTGCTGTTGGGGCAAGTGCTGTTGGGGACAAGTGCTGTTGGGGCAAGTGCTGTTGGGGGCAAGTGCTGTTGGGGCAAGTGCTGTTTGGGGCAAGTGTTGTTGGGGCAAATGCTGTTGGGGCAAATGCTGTTGGGGCAAGTGTTGTTGGGGCAAGTGTTGTTGGGGGCAGGCAGGCGATCACAAGGTCGACTGACTGACCCGACGAATGACCGGACCGATGCACCACCCTGTGCCCTCCGACACACACAAACAACACACACACACACTAACATACACACAACACACACCACACACACAACACACACTAATAACACACACTCAACACACACACCACACACACCAACAACACACACAAACACCACACACACACAACACACACACCACACCACACACAAACAACACACACACACAAACACCACCACAACAACAAAGTTCCAGCGGCAGTTACCGCGCGTTGACCGGCTGAAGAAGAAGGAGGAGGAGTGCGTGACCCGCGGCCTCGCGAGCGACTGAAGGCCGCCGAGGGACGCCACGTGCAGGAGGCGCCATGGGGGACCCATCACGGTGCCGGAATCAAAGCTCGGCCCCGACACGCGGAACAACAACAAAAAAACGTTCCGGGATTCCATGCGACTTTTTGTTCCGGCATTATATCAAGTAAAATCCGACCGTGAACGCGGTGTATTATTACGTAGCATGTAGCTGTTGACTCGGGAGGGTTTTACCCCGTGCTACTCTTGGGGGGTTGTTGTTGTTGTTTTTTTATCGGTAAAGTCACGTATAAATAAGAGATAATGAAATAACATAATAGCGTACGACGTTTCGGTTGCAACACAAGCAGCCATCATCGGGTACTGAAGAGCTAAATTTACGAGAGAGAGGAAACGCGTAACCCCAGATGTATATACAGACACCCAAGTAGGGGGGAACTACCACAGATACAACAGGGGACACAGAGAGAGAAGCATACCAGACAAACAGGGTTTAGCAAAATTTGGAAACCATGTAAAGCAACACAGACGGTCGGTCAAAACACAATTAATGCATAGTCTCAACACTACACCATAGTCTCAGCACTGCACCACAGACTCAGCACTGCACCATAGACTCAGCACTGCACCATAGACTCAACACTGCCCATAGACTCAACACTGCCCATAGGCTCCACACTGCACCATAGACTCAACACTGCCCATAGACTCCACACTGCACCATAGACTCAACACTGCCCATAGGCTCCACACTGCACCATAGACTCAACACTGCCCATAGACTCAACACTGCCCATAGACTCAACACTCCACCATAGACTCAACACTGCCCGTAGACTCAACACTGCACCATAGACTCAACACTGCACCATAGACTCAACACTGCCCATAGACTCAACACTGCCCCATAGACTCAACACTCCACCATAGACTCAACACTGCCCGTAGACTCAACACTGCACCATAGACTCAACACTGCCCGTAGACTCAACACTGCCCATAGACTCAACAATGCCCATAGACTCAACACTGCACCATAGACTCAACACTGCCCATAGACTCAACACTGCACCATAGACTCAACACTGCCCATAGACTCAACACTGCCCATAGGCTCCACACTGCACCATAGACTCAACACTGCCCATAGACTCAACACTGCCCATAGACTCAACACTCCACCATAGACTCAACACTGCCCGTAGACTCAACACTGCACCATAGACTCAACACTGCACCATAGACTCAACACTGCCCATAGACTCAACACTGCCCCATAGACTCAACACTCCACCATAGACTCAACACTGCCCGTAGACTCAACACTGCACCATAGACTCAACACTGCCCGTAGACTCAACACTGCCCATAGACTCAACAATGCCCATAGACTCAACACTGCACCATAGACTCAACACTGCCCATAGACTCAACACTGCACCATAGACTCAACACTGCCCATAGACTCAACACTGCCCATAGACTCAACACTACACCATAGACTCAACACTGCCCGTAGACTCAACACTGCCCGTAGACTCAACACTGCCCATAGACTCAACACTGCCCATAGACTCAACACTGCCCATAGACTCAACACTGCCCATAGACTCAACACTGCACCATCGACTCAACACTGCCCATAGACTCAGCACTGCCCATGGACTCAGCACTGCACCATAGACTCAACACTGCACCATAGACTCAACACTACCCATAGATTCAAAACTGCACCATAGACTCAACACTGCACCATAGACTCAACACTGCACCATAGATTCAACACTGCCCATTGACTCAACACTGCCCATAGACTCCACACTGCACCATAGACTCAACACTGCCCATAGACTCAACACTGCACCATAGATTCAACACTGCACCATAGACTCAACACTGCACCATAGACTCAACACTGCACCATAGACTCAACACTGCACCATAGACTCAACACTGCCCTTTGACTCAACACTGCACCATAGACTCAACACTGCACCATAGACTCAACACTGCACCATAGATTCAGCACTGCACCATAGATTCAGCACTGCCCACAATAATGTTCCATGTAATAATGTTCCATGCATTGTCTTTAATAATAATGTAATAATGTTACATGCATTGCCTTTAGTAATAAAAATGTAAAACAATGTAATAATAACAATCACGTGACATTGTCTTTGAAACCGATTGGCCTACACCTGAGACAGCACCAGCCTTCTCTATGGGGCCATCCATAAATGACGTCACGCACCTGGGGGGGGGGGTGAGAAATGTGACGTCACATCAAAATGCGCAACTTCATAAATAAATATACACAACACGTTCTACTTAATTAAACATACTTTTAAATAAATGTTTTCTCCTACAATGGCAATAGTTTAAGGCGATTTGAAGCATATTCTTGGTTATTTCGGTAAAGTCACCACGTTAGAAGGGAAACAATAACATAATCACAAATATAAAACAATAAAATTCTCACGACGTTTCGACTGCAACACGAGCAATCATCATCGGGTGTGAAAACCACAGCAAGAAAATTTGAAAGAACCAAGAATATGAATCCCTGCAGTCACGAAAGTTTTAAATAATAAATTTCGATTTGAAGCACGTTTTAATAATTTTTTGGGGGGGTGGGGGCAGAGCTTTGTGACGTCATATTTGAGGGGGGGGTCTGACTTTTTGTGACGCCGTGTGACGAAGGAAGGGGGTCAAAAATCGTCAAAAATTGCGTGACGTCATTTACGGACGGCCTCTTGGAAGCAAAGTTGGAACCTACGAACAGACCTCTTGAAATCCAACGCGTTCGTAAGTAGAGGACTCGACATATGTAGGGGAATCGATTCCCTGCTAGCGAGGAATCGCCTCGTCGATTTTGCCTTGCGACCGTTAGGCCGACCAACGACAAACGTTAACGATGTAATTTCAAACGAGCCAATCAGAGGCCATCTAGCGCCGCCGTCGCCGCCACCCCCCCCCCAATGGGAGAGCGTCTTCGCTCAAAACAAGGGCGCGCGGCTCAGCCAATGGGAAGCGCGCTATGCAAATGAGTTCGGTGGGGGGGGAGGGGCGTGTGCGGCTGAACGCGGAAGTGGAGAGCAGGCGACCACTCCAATGCGACCGTTCGTACCAGAACTGGTGAAGTATGGCAGCGATCGCTCGTTACGATTCTTATATCGATTAATCGATTTCCGTTGGAATGTGTGCGAGTGTGCGCGTGAAGGGGGGGGGGGGGTGTAGAGGGTTAGCCGCTACCGCTGCCCAACGAACCTGGCCACCCGGGTTCGATTCCCCGCTCACGGCCAACACCGCCAGTGGCGATTGTCTGAACCGATCCTGGGCCTCCCCTAGGTCGACTCAGCCTCAAATTAGTTACCTGGCGCTGTGTGTGTAGTAACCATCGCCGCTGGGGGAGACAAAGGCGGCCGGGTGTGGTGCTGGCCACCCACCACCTCGTGTGCCGTGCCGGCCTTCATAGGTGCTGCTCGCTAACAGCACTTGCCCCTACAGTCTGATCAGGCTACACGGGGGATCTTTGTCTTTGCTCGTGGACAGCACTTGCCCCTACAGCCTGGCACAGGCTACACGGGGGATCTTTGTCTTTGCTTGCGGACAGCACTTGTCCCTACAGCCTGTCACAGGCTACACGGGGGATCTTTGTCTTTGCTCGTGGACAGCACTTGCCCCTACAGCCTGTCACAGGCTATACGGGGGATCTTTGTCTTTGCCCGTGGACAGCACTTGCCCCTACAGCCTGTCACAGGCTACACGGGGGATCTTTGTCTTTGCTTGCGGACAGCACTTGCCCCTACAGCCTGTCACAGGCTACACGGGGGATCTTTGTCTTTGCCTGTGGTCAGCACTTGCCCCTACAGCCTGTCACAGGCTACACGGGGGATCTTTGTCTTTGCTTGCGGACAGCACTTGCCCCTACAGCCTGTCACAGGCTATACGGGGGATCTTTGTCTTTGCCCGTGGACAGCACTTGCCCCTACAGCCTGTCACAGGCTACACGGGGGATCTTTGTCTTTGCTTGTGGACAGCACTTGCCCCTACAGCCTGTTACAGGCTACACGGGGGATCTTTGTCTTTGCTTGCGGACAGCACTTGCCCCTACAGCCTGTCACAGGCTACACGGGGGATCCTTGTCTTTGCTTGTGGACAGCACTTGCCCCTACAGCCTGTCACAGGCTACACGGGGGATCTTTGTCTTTGCCCGTGGACAGCACTTGCCCCTACAGCCTGTCACAGGCTACACGGGGGATCTTTGCCTGTGGACAGCACTTGCCCCTACAGCCTGTCACAGGCTACACGGGGGATCTTTGTCTTTGCCTGTGGACAGCACTTGCCCCAACAGCCTGTCACAGGCTACACGGGGGATATTTGCCTATGGACAGCACTTGCCCCAACAGCCTGTCACAGACTACACGGGGAATCTTTGTCTTTGCCTGTGGACAGCACTTGCCCCTACAGCCTGTCACAGGCTACACGGGGGATCTTTGTCTTTGCCTGTGGACAGCTCTTGCCCCTACAGCCTGTCACAGGCTACACGGGGGATCTTCTTTGTCTTTGCCTGTGGACAGCACTTGCCCCTACAGCCTGTCACAGGCTACACGGGGGATCTTTGTCTTTGCCTGTGGACAGCACTTGCCCACAAGCGTCTGTGTGACGCTCCACTTTGGAGGGTGTGGATCTTTGTTTTTGGGGCAAGGTTAAACACAATATGCTGCCGCTCATGGATTACAGTCTCACAATGGTTTCAAAATCAATAATTGCACCGTGTCACCGTGTTTTTCACAACCTCCACCCTCCCCACTCTACAGCGATGGCTATAAAAGTTATATTGCAGATCTCTCTCTCTCTCTATTCCTCCAGGTCTACGGGTGACCGAGATCATTTTCCCCGTGTAAAGCTCCCCCACCCCATCACCCGCTCCACCCAGACTACGGAACGCTCTTCCATCGGAGTGATCTCTCATCCCAGTCTGTGGACAATTATTTTTAAATGCGTCTTCAAAACCTACTTTTTATATATATACACACACTGAACGCGCTTCCGCTTACTAAACTTTTAGTTCATTGAGCAACATATTTTTTGTTAAATGTATTTATTATACCGTGTAGGAACCTCCTGGTTACTACACCAGCAGCCCGCAGGGGATTATTGTGTCTGTCCGTCCGTCGTGCGTCCAAAAATGGGAGGGGTGGGGCTGGGTGGAGAGGTGAGGGTGGGGAGGGGCTGGGTGGGGAGGGTGGGGAGGGGCTGGGTGGGGAGGGTGGGGAGGGGAGGGGCTGGGTGGGTAGGGGCTGGTCACCCCGTGGTGCCCTTATAAAACTCAACGTTTAACCTACTCACGCCGGCTTGTGCCCGCCCTCACAGTCGGGAATATTGTGCGGAATGCACCACGTGGTGGTGCCGCCCTTGTTGACCCTGGCCATTGACCGAGCAACCCAACGTTCCTACCAGCTCCCTCCCTCCGCAGGAGAATGTGTTTTGATGGCACGTGTCTGCTGCTGCTCCTGCTGCCGTGTCCTGTACAGCGCTTTGAGATCCATGATGATGAAAAGCTGCCGTAGACACGGAATTATGATTTTGTCTCTGCCCCCACGGTTGACGTTTCGGTCCATGGGTGACCGAGATTATTTTCCATGTAACCCCCCACTAAGGCTACGGAACGTTCTTCCACCAGATAGCTATACTACACACTATACACTACACTAGTACAGCACTAGTGCTGTACTAGTATACTACACTATACACTACACTATACACTAGTGCTGTACTAGTATACTACACTACACACTATTATACTACACTATACACTACACGATACACTAGTGCTGTACTAGTATACTACACTATACACTACACACTAGTGCTGTACTAGTATACTACACGATACACTACACACTAGTGCTGTACCAGTACACCACACGATACACTACACTACACACTAGTGCTGTACTAGTATACTACACTATACACTACACACTAGTGCTGTACTAGTATACTACACTATACACTACACACTAGTGCTGTACTAGTATACTACACGATACACTACACACTAGTGCTGTACCAGTACACCACACGATACACTACGCCACACACTGCACTATAATTGCACACGTGTGGAAGTGGGTTTACTCTCCAAACACACCACGGCCTAGCGCTGCGCTAGTAACGAATCGGCCCCGGCTCCCTTTAAGCGACACGACCCTTGCTGGACCGGCTGTGGATCAGCCGGCAGTGGGGGGGGGGGGGGTGGTGTAGCGGGTTAGCCGCTACCGCTGCGCTAGGAACCTGGCCACCCGGGTTTCGATTCCCCGCCCGCGGGCCAACACCGCCACTGGCGATTGTCTGAACCGGTCCTGGGCCTCCCCTGGGTCGACTCGGCCTCAAATTTAGTTACCCGGCGCTGTGTTGTGGGCAGTAACACATCGCCGCTGGGGGGAAGACAAAGGCGGCCGGGGCGTGGTGCTGGCCACCCACCCCCCCACCTCGTGCGCCGTTACCGGCCTTCACAGTGCCCCCTACGGCCTGTTAAAGCTACGCGTGTATTAATTTATTTTCAGTAGTTTATTATTCTTGTATGGACCCTCGCGATTCCTAACGCGAGGGACGAAGCGAACCCGGGACCTAACTTGCGCTTGCACGCCGCTGGATTTTGCACTTGGCGAGCGATGGAAAAAAAATATGCCGCCGAATTATTTTCTGTTCAGGTTCACTTACGAAATGATTACACAAACCCCCTGCCACTACCGCCGCCCCCCCCCCCCCCCCCCAAATCGTCAGAAGTGTTGAGAAATGTCTCTTTTTTTTATTTGTTTGTTTACGAAGCACCAACAACAAAAAACTAACAACCTCGATTACGAGGATCTGCCCGGCGTGCACACAGCCGCCCTTCGATTGACCGGTGTATCTCCTCCCTTGCACAGGAACGTGGAATTTCCACCGCCGCACCCAGCAAGATGAGTCCTGTCGCTGCTATCCCCGGTCGCCACCTTCGTCCTACTCAGCAGCAGCAGCAGCAGCTGCAGCAGCTGCATCAGAAAGAGTGGCGGCAGCAGCAGCTGCACAAGCAGCAGCTGCATCACCACCTGCAGCAGCAGCAGCAGCAGCGCCAGCAGGAGCAGCAGCAGCAGCAGCAGCGTCAGCAGCAGCACAATCAGCAACAGCAGCAGCAGCGCCTGCGTCAGAAGCACAAGCAGCAGCTGCAGCATCATTGGCTGGAGCTGCAGCAGCAGCAGCAGCAGCAGGACAGGCAGGAGCAAAATCTGCAGTCGCATCATCATCGTCATCAGCAGCAGCAGCACAATCATCAGCAGCAGCACAATCAGCAGCAGCAGCAGCAGCAGCAGTTCGAGCGTCGTCATCACGATCACCGTAACACTCAGCAGCAGCAGCAGCAGCACGATCAGAATCGCAATCACCATCGCCGCCGGGCGGATCGCGAGCGGCACGACGCCACTCCGCTGCCCAGCGCCTTCGTCGAGAGCCTGCGGCCTCTGTTTGCCGCGTTGGACGACGGCGGGCGAGGCGCCGTGCACGTGACCGAGATAGAATCTCGCTGGGGCGGCGGCGGCGGCGGCGGCGTCGGCGGCGGAGTGCTCGCCGCCCTCCGGAGGGAGGCTTCTCCCGGAGGTCACCTGACCTTCGAGCGCTTCGCCGCGGGTTTGGGTCGCGCCGCCGAGGAGGTGGACGCGACGGAACCGCCGCCGCCGCCGGAACCGCCGGCGTGGCCGGCGTCGCCGGCGCCGCCGGCACCGGCGGCGCCGGCGCCTTCCTCCTCGTCGTCGTCGTCATCGACGTCGTCGTCGCCGCCGCTGACCCCTTCGTCGCCGCCGGCGTCGCTGTCGGTGAGGTGGTGGAGCGGTTCCTGCCGCGGCACGCTCTGCACCGCACCGCACCGACGGGGCTCTGTGCCGGGCTGCCACGCGGGGTGGCGGTCACGGTGACTACCGTGGAGTTGCCGCGGCTCGAGCGGAGCTGCGGAGTAAAGTTGCGTCGCTGATGGGCACTCGGCCGGGAGGAAAGCGGACTCGTTGAGCAGGGGGTTGTGCTGCCATTGGCTCTCTGTGTGTGGCTCTCTGTGTGGCTCTCTGGGTGTGTCTGTGTGGCTCTCTGTGTGTGTCTTTGTGGCTCTCTGTGGCTCTCTGTGTGTGTCTGTGTGTGTCTCTGTGGCTCTCTGTGTGTGTCTGTGTGTGTCTCTGTGGCTCTCTGTGTGTGTCTGTGTGTCTCTCTGTGTGGCTCTGTGTGTGGCTCTCTGTGTGTGTCTGTGTGGCTCTCTGTGTGGCTCTCTGTGTCGCTCTTTGTGTGGCTCTGTGTGGCTCTCTGTGGCTCTGTGTGTGGCTCTGTGTGTGGCTCTCTGTGGCTCTTTGTGTGGCTCTGTGTGTGTCTGTGTGGCTCTCTGTGTGTGTCTGTGTGGCTCTCTATGTGGCTCTGTGTGTGTCTGTGTGTGGCTCTGTGTATGGCTCTCTGTGTTTCTGTGTGGCTCTCTATGTGGCTCTGTGTGTGTCTGTGTGTGGCTCTCTGTGTGGCTCTCTGTGTGGTTCTCTGTGTGTGTCTGTGTGTCTCTCTGTGTGTGTCTGTGTGTCTCTCTGTGTGTGTCTGTGTGTCTCTCTGTGTGTGTCTGTGTGGCTCTCTGTGCGTGGCTCTGTGTGTCTGTGTGTCACGGTGAGGGAGGGTGGGTGGTGGCGGGGGTCACGGTAACTCGCTGACCCCGTGCCCCCTTACGGGACATCTGTGACAAAGAGCTTGACGGCTCATCGGATTCCTCTCCTCCCCCCCCCCCCCTCCCGTGCACCGCCAGACGACGGCGGCGACGCGTCTTCGGCCCGCCAGCGGAGGTGCCGGTGCCTGGGCGGCTGCCGGAGCCGGTGTCGGTGGTGCCGCGTGGGAGAAGCGGGCGTCATTGGCCACGCGCAGTCTGCAGTCGCTGGACGGCCTGGACTCCCTGGGGCCTCCTCCACCTCCACCGCCTCCACCGCCTCCTCCTCCGCCTCCTCCTTCTTCCTCCCCGCCGCCACCGCTGCCTCCTCCTCCGCTCGTGCCTCGTTTGCTGAACCCCGCCGTTGGTGGTGAGTGGGTGGGTGGTTGGGTCATTTGGTGGGGTGGGGTGGGTGGGTGGGTGGGTGGGTAACTTGGTGGGTGAATTGGTGGGTGAGTGGGTGGGTGGTTGGGTCATTTGGTGGGGTGGGGTGGGTGGGTGGGTAACTTGGTGGGTGAATTGGTGGGTGAGTGGGTGGGTGGTTGGGTCATTTGGTGGGGTGGGTGGGTGATTTGGTGGGTGAATTGGTGGGTGAGTGGGTGGGTAATTTGGTAGGTAGGTAGGTGGAGGGGCGGGTGGGTGAGTTAGTAATATGGTAGCTGAATGAGTGGGTGGGTAATTTGGTGGGTGGGTGGGTAACTTGGTGGGTGAATTGGTGGGTGAGTGGGTGGGTAATTTTGTAGGTAGGTAGGTGGAGGGGTGGGTGGGTGGGTTAGTAATATGGTAGCTGAGTGAGTGGGTGGGTAATTTGGTGGGTGGGGTGGGTGGGTGGGGTGGGTGGGTGATTTGGTGGGTGAATTGGTGGGTGAGTGGGTGGGTAATTTGGTAGGTAGGTAGGTGGAGGGGCGGGTGGGTGGGTTAGTAATATGGTAGCTGAGTGAGTGGGTGGGTAATTTGGTGGGTGGGGTGGGTGAGTGGGTAATTTGGTGGGTGAATTGGTGGGTGAGTAATTTTGTAGGTAGGTGGAGGGGTGGGTGGGTGGGTTAGTAATATGGTAGCTGAGTGAGTGGGTGGGTAATTTGGTGGGTGGGGTTGGTGGGTGGGGTGGGTGGGTGGGTAATTTGGTGGGTGAGTGGGTGGGTAATTTGGTAGGTAGGTGGAGGGGCGGGTGGGTGAGTTAGTAATATGGTAGCTGAGTGAGTGGGTGGGTAATTTGGTGGGTGGGGTGGGTGGGTGAGTGAGTTGGTGGGTGGGTAAGTAATTTGGTCGGTGGGTGGGTAATTTGGTGGGTGGGGTGGGTGGGTGGGTGAGTCAGTTGGTGGGTGGGTGGGTGGGTAAGTAATTTGGTAGGTGAGTGAGTGGCTGGGTAATTTGGTGGGGTGGGTGGGTGAGTGAGTTGGTGGGTGGGTGGGTAAGTAATTTGGTGGGTGGGGTGGGTGGGTGAGTTGGTGAGTGGGTGGGTAAGTAATTTGGTGGGTGGGGTGGGTGGGTGAGTGAGTTGGTGGGTGGATGAGTAAGTAATATGGTAGGTGGGTGGGTGAGTGGGTCTTTGGGTGAGTGAGTGTATGAGTGGATCATTGAGTGGGTGGGTGATGATGATGGTGATGATGGTGATGATGTTGGTAAGCACTATGAGGGTGATGGGTCACTGTCATAGATACATCAGCACAGCGATGATGATAGTGATGTTGATAATGGTGGTGATGATGGTAGTGATGTAGATGGTGATGATGGTGATGTTGATGGTGATGATGATTTTTATAGTTATGATGGTGATGATATTGATTGTGATGATGGTGGTGATGTTGATAGTGGTGATGGTGGTGATGTTGATAGTGATGGTGGTGATGTTGATAGTGATGATGGTGATGTTGATAGTGGTGATGGTGGTGATGTTGATGGTGATGATGGTGGTGATGATGATGTTGATGGTGATGATGGCGGTGATGTTGATAGTGGTGATGGTGGTGATGTCAATGGTGATGATGGTGGTGATGTTGATAGTGAGGATAGTGGTGATGTTGTTAGTGATGATCTTGTTGATAGTGATGATGGTGACGATGATGTTGATAGTGATTATGGTGGTGATGTTGATGCTGATAGTGATGATGATATTGATGGTGATGATGGTGATCATGGTAATAGTGATGATGGTGATGATGGTGATGTTGATAGCGTTGATGAGATTGATGGTGATGATGGTGATGATGATGTTGATGGTGATGATGGTGGTGATGTTGATAGTGAGGATGGTGGTGATGTTGTTAGTAATGATCTTGTTGATGGTGATGATGGTGATGATCATGTTGATAGTGGTGGTGATGGTGATGCTGATAGTGATGGTGATATTGATGGTGATGATGGTGATCATGGTAATAGTGATGATGGTGATGATGGTGATGTTGATAGCGTTGATGAGATTGATGGTGATGATGGTGATGATGATGTTGATGGTGATGATGGTGGTGATGTTGATAGTGAGGATGGTGGTGATGTTGTTAGTAATGATCTTGTTGATGGTGATGATGGTGATGATCATGTTGATAGTGGTGGTGATGGTGATGCTGATAGTGATGGTGATATTGATGGTGATGATGGTGATCATGTTCATAGTGATGATGGTGATGATGGTGATGTTGATAGCGATGGTGATAGCGATGGTGATGATGGCGATCATGTTCATAGTGATGATGGTGATGTTGATAGCAATGATGAGTTTGATGGTGATGATGGTGATCGTATTGATAGTTATGGTGATGATCATGTCGACGGTGATGTTGATGTTGTTCATGTTTTGATTTAAAGCTTTCGTGACTGCAGTAATTCATATTCTTACCGAAAGAGCTAAGGATATGTTGTTGATGTTGTTGATGTTGTTGACAGGCGCGATGAGAGTGATGGGACGCTCTCACAGTGACAGCAGCACGGCTGCGGCGATGGCGATGATGGCGGCGCTGTGCGAGGCTGAACCACGGAGGAGCAAGAGCTCAGCAAGGAGAGAGCACAGAAGGCACACCATCACCGCCATCACGGGTCTCGACCATCACTCGGTACACCATCACTCGGTACACCATCACACGGTACACCATCACACGGTACACCATCACACGGTACACCATCACCGCCATCACGGGTCTCGACCATCACTCGGTACACCATCACTACCATCACACAGTACACCACCATCACACGGTACACCATCACATGGTACACCATCACCGCCATCACGGGTCTCGACCATCACTCGGTACACCATCACTCGGTACACCATCACATGGTACACCATCACACGGTACACCATCACACGGTACACCATCACATGGTACACCATCACTCGGTACACCATCACATGGTACACCATCACACGGTACACCATCACATGGTACACCATAACCGCCATCACGGGTCTCGACCATCACTCGGTACACCATCACATGGTACACCATCACCGCCATCACGGGTCTCGACCATCACACGGTACACCATCACACGGTACACCATCACACGGTACACCATCACTACCATCACACAGTACACCACCATCACATGGTACACCATCACCGCCATCACGGGTCTCGACCATCACACGGTACACCATCACATGGTACACCATCACTACCATCACACGGTACACCATCACATGGTACACCATCACCATCATCACTCGGTACACCACCACACGGTACACCATCACCGCCATCACGGGTCTCGACCATCACTCGGTACACCATCACTACCATCACACAGTACACCACCATCACACGGTACACCATCACATGGTACACCATCACCGCCATCACGGGTCTCGACCATCACTCGGTACACCATCACTCGGTACACCATCACATGGTACACCATCACACGGTACACCATCACACGGTACACCATCACATGGTACACCATCACTCGGTACACCATCACATGGTACACCATCACACGGTACACCATCACATGGTACACCATCACCGCCATCACGGGTCTCGACCATCACTCGGTACACCATCACATGGTACACCATCACCGCCATCACGGGTCTCGACCATCACACGGTACACCATCACACGGTACACCATCACACGGTACACCATCACACGGTACACCATCACTACCATCACACAGTACACCACCATCACATGGTACACCATCACCGCCATCACGGGTCTCGACCATCACACGGTACACCATCACATGGTACACCATCACTACCATCACACGGTACACCATCACATGGTACACCATCACCACCATCACTCGGTACACCACCACACAGTACACCATCACCGCCATCACAAGTCTCGACCATCACAGGGTACACCATCACATGGTACACCATCACCGCCATCACACGGTACACCACCACACGGTACACCATCACCGCCATCACGGGTCTTGACCATCACACGGTACACCATCACCGCCATCACACGGTACACCATCACACGGTACACCATCACCGCCATCACGGGTCTCGACCATCACTCGGTACACCATCACCATCACACGGTACACCACCATCACACGGTACACCACCATCACACGGTACACCATCACCGCCATCACGGGTCTCGACCATCACTCGGTACACCATCACACGGTACACCATCACCACCATCACACGGCACACCATCACTCAGTACACCATCACCACCATCACACGGTACACCATCACTACCATCACGCGGTACACCATCACACGGTACACCATCACATGGTACACCACCATCACACGGTACACCATCACCACCACACGGTACACCATCACTCAGTACACCATCACCGCCATCACACGGTACACCATCACCACCATCACACGGTACACCATCACCACCATAACCACCATCACACGGTACACCATCACTACCATCACACGGTACACCATCACCACCATCACGGGATTCGACCATCACACGGTACACCATCACACGGTACATCATCACCACCATCATACGGTACACCATCACATGGTACACCATCACCACCATCACACGGTACACCATCACATGGTACACCATCACCACCATCACACGGTACACCATCACCATCACACGGTACACCACCATCACATGGTACACCATCATACGGTACACCATCACTACAATCACACGGTACACCATCACCACCATCACGGGACTCGACCATCACTCGGTACACTTCCACCATCACACGGTACACCACCATCACCAGGTACGCCATCACTACCATCACACGGTACACCATCCATCACACGGTACACCACCATCACACGGTACACCACCATCACACGGTACACCACCATCACACGGTACACCATCACTACCACCACACGGTACACCACCATCACACGGTACACCACCATCACACGGTACACCACCATCACATGGTACACCACCACCATACGGTACACCACCATCACACGGTACACCACCATCACACGGTACACCACCATCACACGGTACACCACCATCATACGGTACACCACCATCACACGGTACACCACCATCACACGGTACACCATCACCGCCATCACGGGACTCGACCATCACACGGTACACCATCACCACCATCACACGATACACCACCATCACACGGTACACTACCATCACACGGTACACCATCACCACCATCACGGGACTCGACCATCACACGGTACACTGCCACCATCACACGGTACACCATCACTACCATCACACGGTACACCACCATCACACGGTACACCACCATCACCAGGTACACCACTACCATCACACGGTACACCATCACACGGTACACCATCACCGCCATCACAGGACTCAACCATCACACGGTACACTGCCACCATCACACGGTACACCACCATCACCAGGTACACCATCACTACCATCACACGGTACACCACCATCACACGGTACAGCACCATCACACGGTACACCACCATCACACGGTACACCATCACTACCACCATCACCACCATCACGGGGCTCGACCATCACACGGTACACCATCACCAATACCACCGCCATTCGCCACTAAAGTGACCGGTGACGTCACCACGGCTCCTGTGCCAGGCTAGGTTCACTTTGAAGCTATCGCGTGAAATGACGAAGGCTCTCTGCTGGCAGGAGGTCACGGGACAGACCCTGCAGGTGCCATGGGTTGACTGACTGAGATGATCGGTAGATGCTACCAGCTGTACATCCTACTGTGCCAACCTGCTGTGCTTTAGCCACCCGGCGCTCCGCTCGTTGTTGTGAGCGTCGCTCCTCCGCCCTCCGTTGTTGTTGGAGGGCGACTGCCTCCAACTGCCCAGTAGCGTCCTTCATGAGCCTCCTCCACAGAGGCCGATCTTGACACCGCTGGTACCAGTCATCGGCAAGTCTACTCAGCTCCACGTCCTCCTGTACCACATCACTCCATCTCTTCTCTAGCCCCGTGCCTCCTGTACCACGTCACTCCATCTCTTCTCTAGTCCGTGCCGCGCCCGTTTAGCCCCCTCGATCCGGCCGAACAAAAGCTGTTCCGGCATGCGGTGGCTGGGCATGCGGGCTACATGACCCAGCCAACGCAGCCTTGCCTGCCGGAGGAGCTCACCGATGGGACTTTGTCCAGATCTTTCAAGGATTTGTGAGCTCCTCACACAATCCAGCCTGGTTAAACCCAGGAAGGATCGTAGGCAGGCCAGCCTAAATGTTTCTAACTGGCAAAGATGTTCCATTTGGGGGGGGTCCACGTTTCGCAAGCGTAGAGAAGGGAGGGCATGACTTTCACCACCACCATCATCACCACCATCACCACCATCACGGGGTTCAACCATCACACGGCACGCCATTGTGGTGTTTGTGTGTATGTCTGGTTATAGTGGTGGTTGTGTGTGTGTGGTTATAGTGGTGGTTGTGTGTGTGTGTGTGGTTGTAGTGATGGTTGTGTGTGTGGTTATAGTGATGGTTGTGTGTGTGGTTATAGTGGTGGTTGTGTGTGTGTGTGGTTATAGTGGTGGTTGTGTGTGTGTGGTTATAGTGGTGGTTGTGTGTGTGTATGTGGTTGTAGTGATGGTTGTGTGTGTGTGTGGTTATAGTAGTGGTTGTGTGTGTGTGTGGTTATAGTGATGGTTGTGTGTGTGTGTGGTTATAGTGGTGGTTGTGTGTGTGTGTGTGTGGTTATAGTGTTGGTCGTGTGTGTAGGTGGTTGTAGTGATGTGTGTGTGTGTGTGTGGTTATAGTGGGGGTTGTGTGTGTGTGTGTGGTTATAGTGGTGGTTGTGTGTGTGTGTGGTTATAGTGGTGGTTGTGTGTGTGTGTGGTTATAGTGGTGGTTGTGTGTGGTTATAGTGATGGTTGTGTGTGTGTGTGGTTATAGTGATGGTTGTGTGTGTGTGTGGTTATAGTAGTGGTTGTGTGTGTGGTTATAGTGGTTGTGTGTGTGTGGTTATAGTGGTGGTTGTGTGTGTGTGTGGTTGTAGTGATGGTTGTGTGGGTGTGTGTGTGGTTATAGTGATGGATGTGTGTGTGTGTGGTTGTAGTGATGGTTGTGTGGGTGTGTGTGTGGTTATAGTGGTGGTTGTTGGTGGTCATGTGTATGTATTATAGTAGGGGTGGTGTTTGTGGCGTGGTTGTCGGTGGTGCTTGTGGAGGCGGAGGCAGTGCAGCAGCAGGAGGCACTGGCGTCCTGCTCTGCGCGCCCTCGACTCAGCCCGGGTTCGGCTCCAGGACGAGGTCACGGGGAGGGGGCGGAGGGACGGAGGGGCTCCCCCGGTAACCGCTCCGCGTCACACCGCGCCCCACCATTCCACGCCGTGCCACGCAGTTCCACACCACGCGGTGTGAGACAGCTCCACTTATTGCCGCACAGCCCCCCCGCCGCTGCCGCTCCTCGCTGCAACAGCGCTTGCAGCCGCTGCTGCTGCCGCTCCTCGCTGCAACAGCGCTTGCAGCCGCTACTGCTGCCGCTCCTCGCTGCAACAGCGCTTGCAACCGCTACTGCTGCTCCACACTGCTTGCAGCCGCTGCTGCTGCCGCTCCACGCTGTAACAGCGCTTGCAGCCGTTGCTACTGCTGCTCCACGCTGCAACAGCGCTTGCAGCCGTTGCTACTGCTGCTCCTCGCTGCAACAGCGCTTGCAACCGCTGCTGCTGCTGATCCACGCTGTAACAGCGCTTGCAACCGCTGCTGCTGCTGATCCACGCTGTAACACCGCTTGCCAGTGCTGCTGCTCCGCGCTGCAACAGCGCTTGCAGCCGCTGTTCTTTTGCGTTGGCCAGCAGGGTCACCCGGCGGACGTGAACCCGGCCCGCCTGGGGCAGCTCTACCACAGGATCCAGGAGGCGACGCGGATCCTGGCAGAGGTGACCGAGTCGGCAAAGGTGACGGCGCCGTGACGTCGTCGCGGCTGTAAAAACATTTTTTTTTAAAATAAATTAAACACCATGGGTGAGGCCCCCCCCTCACCCCCATCTGAGCTGCTTGAGTAGCTATCTTTCGTTCAGAAGCGACAAAACATCTCCTAGCCACCGTGATGAATGATGGTGATGAGAGAGACGCAGACTCCAAATCTACAGCAGCAGGCGTTGTCAGGGTCGGGATCGAACCCACGACCCCCTGCGTACCAGGCGAGGTAGTCAACATCTCATAGCCACCGTGATGATGATGAGAGAGAGAGACACGCAGACTCCAAATCTACAGCAGCAGTAGGCGTTGTCAGGGTCGGGATCGAACCCACGACTTCCTGTAGACCAGGCGAGGTAGTCCAACATCTCAGCCACAGTGATGATGATGATGATGAGAGACACGCAGACTCCAAATCTACAGCAGCAGTAGGCGTTGTCAGGGTCGGGATCGACCACGACTTCCTGTAGACCAGGCGAGGTAGTCAACATCTCCTAGCCACCGTGATGATGATGGTGATGAGAGAGACGCAGACTCCAAATCTACAGCAGCAGTAGGCGTTGTCAGGGTCGGGATCGAACCCACGACCTCCTGTACACCAGGCGAGGTAGTCAACAACTCACCACTATGATGATGATGATGAGGGAGAGAGACACGCAGACTTAAAGTATACAGCAGGCGTCAGGGTCTGGATCAGACCCAGGACCTCCTGTATACCAGGCGAGGTAGTTAACATCTCACCCAATCACCACCACCATCACGGGGCTCGACCATCACCACCACCACCACCGCCGTCATCAACAACATCAACAACAACAACATCATCATCGTCGTCTTTATTGTGACTGTGGCCATGTTGCTGTTGGGTGTGGTGGGGGGTGACGCAGGCCGGGACTTACGGAGCGGAAGGCTGCGGGCCCCCCATGGCCCCCATGCCCCCCATGGCCCCCATGGCCCCCAGTGCCAGCGTGTTGCAGCAGGCACTGGGCGTCCTGCGTGACCAGAACCGGCTGCTTACGCGGGTGAGTAGCCGCTCCCTCACCCCCCACCACCACCACCAGCACCACCCCCCACCACCACCAACCACCACCCACCAGGTGTGTAACTCCCTCGCCCCTCCCTCACACCCCCCACCAGCACCACCACCACCACCCACCAGGTGTGTAACTCCCTCGCCCCTCCCTCACCCCCCACCACCACCACCACCCAGGTGTGTAACTCCCTCACCCCCTACCAGCACCACCACCACCACCCACCAGGTGTGTAACTCCCTCGCCCCACCCCCCACCCCCACCACCACCACCACCCACCAGGTGTGTAACTCCCTCCGCCCCTCCCTCCAGCTCGCGCGTCTCCCCCCGTGTCCCACGCCTCCCCGTGTCCTCCCTGTCTCTCGCCACGTATCCCCACGTATCCCCGTGTCTCCCTGTGTCTCTGTGTCTCCCCGTGTCTCCCCGTGTCCTCCCCACATCACCCCACATCTCCCCGTGTCTCCCCGTGTCTCCCCAGGTCTCCCCGTGCCTCCCCGCGTTACCCTCCACGCCCGTCTCCCCGTGTCTCCCTGTGTCTCTGTGTCTCCCCGTGTCTCCCCGTGTCTCCCAGTGTCTCTCCACATCTCCCCGTGCCTCCCCGCGTTACCCTCCACGCCCGTCTCCCCGTGTCTCCCTGTGTCTCTGTGTCTCCCCGTGTCTCCCCACGTCTCCCCGTGTCTCCCCGTGCCTCCCCGCGTTACCCTCCACGCCCGTCTCCCCGTCTCCCCCCCCCCCCCACCCCCCCCCCCCCCCGTGGCGCAGGAGGTCTCCGAGAAGAGTGACCGCATCTCTCAGCTGGAGCACGAGAAGTCGCTGCTGATCCAGCAAGCTGTTCGAGGCTCGCTCACGCCACCGACGGCAAACGCCAGCCTCCTCCTCGCGGACTCCACCTTCATTTGAACGCCGCGGGGCCGGGCGCTGACCCTCGGCACGACCTCGCCACCGCGACGCGCCCGCCGAGCCCCAAGTCTCGCCCCCTGCTACCGCCTTGTACCACCGCCGCCACCCCCCCCCCCCGCCATCCCGCCCCGGGATATCGGCGCAACCTCGTTGCAGCGGACGAGGGTCCGCGCGACGCCACGGACGAGTTGCCGCAACCGGCGGCGGCTGTCATTGGCGGCGTCGGCGGCGGTGGCGGCGTCTGGAGCCCGGCCGCGACGCCACGCGGGGGAGAAGAAACGACGCGGCGGGAGCAGCAGCAGAAGCAGTAGAAGCAGCAGCAGAAGTAGAAGCAGAAGCAGCAGCAGAAGCAGCAACAGAAGCAGCAGCAGAAGCAGCAGAAGCAGTAGAAGCAGTAGAAGCAGCAGAAGCAGCAACAGAAGCAGCTCCAGAAGCAGCAGCAGAAGCAACAGCAGAAGCAGCAGCAGAAGCAGCTCCAGAAGCAGCAGCAGAAGCAGCAGCAGAAGCAGCAGAAGCAGCAGAAGCAGCAGCAGAAGCAGCAGCAGAAGCAGCAGCAGAAGCAGTAGAAGCAGCAGCAGAAGCAGCAGCAGAAGCAGCAGCAGAAGCAGCAGCAGAAGCAGCAACAGAAGCAGCAGCAGAAGCAGCAGAAGCAGTAGAAGCAGTAGAAGCAGCAGAAGCAGCAACAGAAGCAGCTTCCAGAGAGCAGCAGCAGAAGCACAGCAGAAAGCAGCAGCAGAAGCAGCTCCAGAAGCAGCAGCAGAAGCAGCAGCAGAAGCAGCAGAAGCAGCAGAAGCAGCAGCAGAAGCAGCAGCAGAAGCAGCAGCAGAAGCAGTAGAAGCAGCAGGAGAAGCAGCAGCAGAAGCAGGAGAAGCAGCAGAAGCAGCAGCAGAAGCAGCAGCAACAGAAGCAGGAGAAGCAGCAGCAGAAGCAGCAGCAGAAACAGCAGCAGAAGCAGCAGCAGAAGCAGGGCCAGGCGCTGCTTTGTACACGTGTGTGTGTGTACGTTGGGCTTCTTTCACATCACCGTACGTCGCCGACCGCTGTTGATCGGAGCACAAGAACAAGAACAACAATCAAGTTTAAGGAAAATAACGTCGCGGTGGAGAGGGTAGCGTCGTGATGTTGAGGCTGTGTGTGTCAGTGTGAGGCTGTGTGTGTGTGTGTCAGTGTTGAGACTGTGTGTGTCAGTGTTGAGACTGTGTGTGTCAGTGTTGAGACTGTGTGTGTCAGTGTTGAGGCTGTGTGTGTGTCAGTGTTGAGGTTGTGTGTGTGTCAGTGTTGAGGCTATGTGTGTGTCAGCGTTGAGGCTGTGTGTGTGTGTTAGTGTTGAGGCTGTGTGTATCAGTGTTGAGGCTGTGTGTGTGTCAGTGTTGAGGCTATGTGTGTGTCAGCGTTGAGGCTGTGTGTGTGTGTTAGTGTTGAGGCTGTGTGTGTCAGTGTTGCGGCTGTGTGTGTGTCAGTGTTGAGGCTATGTGTGTGTCAGTGTTGAGGCTATGTGTTAGTGTTGAGGCTGTGTGTGTGTGTGTCAGTGTTGAGGCTCTGTGTGTCAGTGTTGAGGCTGTGTGTGTGTGTCAGTGTTGAGGCTGTGTGTGTCAGTGTTGAGGCTGTGTGTGTGTCAGTGTTGATGTTGTGTGTGTGTCAGTGTTGAGGCTGTGTGTGTTAGTGTTGAGGCTGTGTTTGTGTGTCAGTGTTGAGGCTGTGTGTGTGTCAGTGTTGAGGCTGTGTGTGTGTGTCAGTGTTGAGGCTGTGTGTGTGTGTCAGTGTTGAGGCTGTGTGTGTCAGTGTTGAGGCTGTGTGTGTGTGTTAGTGTTGAGGCTGTGTGTGTGTCAGTGTTGATGTTGTGTGTGTGTCAGTGTTGAGACTCTGTGTATGTGTGTCAGTGTTGAGGCTGTGTGTGTGTCAGTGTTGCGGCTGTGTGTGTGTCAGTGTTGCGGCTGTGTGTGTGTCAGTGTTGAGGCTGTGTGTGTGTGTCAGTGTTGATGTTGTGTGTGTGTCAGTGTTGAGACTCTGTGTATGTGTGTCAGTGTTGAGGCTGTGTGTGTGTGTCAGTGTTGATGTTGTGTGTGTGTCAGTGTTGAGGCTGTGTGTGTCAGTGTTGAGACTCTGTGTATGTGTGTCAGTGTTGAGGCTGTGTGTGTGTCAGTGTTGCTGTGTGTGTGTGTGTTAGTGTTGAGGCTGTGTGTGTGTCAGTGTTGAGGCTGTGTGTGTGTGTGTCAGTGTTGAGGCTGTGTGTGTCAGTGTTGAGACTGTGTGTGTGTGTCAGTGTTGAGGCTGTGTGTGTGTGTCAGTGTTGATGTTGTGTGTGTGTCAGTGTTGAGGCTGTGTGTGTCAGTGTTGAGACTCTGTGTATGTGTGTCAGTGTTGAGGCTGTGTGTGTGTCAGTGTTGAGGCTGTGTGTGTGTGTTAGTGTTGAGGCTGTGTGTGTGTCAGTGTTGAGGCTGTGTGTGTCAGTGTTGAGGCTGTGTGTGTGTGTGTCAGTGTTGAGGCTGTGTGTGTCAGTGTTGAGACTGTGTGTCAGTGTTGAGGCTGTGTGTCAGTGTTGAGACTGTGTGTCAGTGTTGAGGCTGTGTGTGTGTCAGCGTTGAGGCTGTGTGTGTGTGTCAGTGTTGAGGCTGTGTGTGTGTGTGTCAGTGTTGAGTGTGTGGTGTGTCAGTGTTGAGGCTGTGTGTGTGTCAGTGTTGAGCTGTGTGTGTGTGTGTCAGTGTTGAGGCTGTGTTGTCAGTGTTGAGACTGTGTGTGTGTCAGTGTTGAGGCTGTGTGTCAGTGTTGAGGACTGTGTGTGTCAGTGTTGAGGCTGTGTGTGTGTCAGTGTTGAGGCTGTGTGTGTGTGTCAGTGTTGATGTTGTGTGTGTGTCAGTGTGAGGCTGTGTGTGTCAGTGTTGAGGCTGTGTGTGTGTCAGTGTTGCAGCTGGTGTGTGCAGTGTTGAGGCTGTGTGTGTGTCAGTGTTGAGACTGTGTGTGTCAGTGTTGAGACTCTGTGGGTGAGAAGAAGGCTGCCTCCACGTTCAGGTTGCACCCTTCGCTAATGGGCCACGAGCGAGCCTAATGCATGTCGCTCGATGCACGCAAAATGAATGCCTCCACCCCGCATCTCGAATGGTATAATCCATGCCCCCCCCCCCCCCGCTTAAATCGCAAATGGCATGCTCCGTATAACTGTGGTGTCGTTGCTGAGAAGATCGTGAGATGGATCCTTGACAAGTGGTCTCACCCCCGTAGGTACCGATTCCGCAGCGGTCGATCTTCTCAGCTCGAATTGCGACGACTTTGACGACGGTCCCGCCCCCCACTCAGCTCCCCCGCACGTGTGAAACGGCACTACTCCGCGTCCTTACGTAGCACGTGCCCCTTCGGCAAAACCCCTGTGCATGGAACCGTTCGGCTGCAAACAACACGCGCCACGGGTGTACGCTATGCAGATCGGCTCAAGCCTCGTGTGAACCCACGTTACTCCTGTGTGGCCACTCCCCCCCTGCCCCGCCCACTCCGAGCTCCTCCCCCTCTCCGTGCCGCCGCCCACTGTGAAAACAGACCCCTCTGTGCGGATCTCTTTTGCTGCTCGCTCCTCCCTCCCTCCCTCCCCACTCTTCCATCTCTGTCATCATCATAATCATCGCCATGGTGGCGCCTGGTGTACAGGAGGTCGTGGGTTTAGGTCCTGACTCTGACGACGCCTGCTGCTGTATATTTGGAGTTTTGCGTGCCTCTCATCATCGTCACGGTGGCTATGAGATGTTAACACCCTCGCCTGGTATACAGGAGGTCGTGGGTTCTATCCCGACTGACGATGCCTGCTGCTGCTGTATATTTGGAGTTTGCGTGCCTCTCATCATCATCATCGTCACGGTGGCTATAAGATGTTAACTCCCTCGCCTGGTGTACAGGAGGTCGTGGGTTCGATCCCGACTGACGACGCCTGCTGCTGCTGTATATTTGGAGTTTCCGCGTCTCTCATCATCATCGTCACGGTGGCTATAAGATGTTAACTCCCTCGCCTGGTGTACAGGAGGTCGTGGGTTCGATCCCGACTGACGACGCCTGCTGCTGCTGTATATTTGGAGTTTCCGCATCTCTCATCATCATCATCACGGTGGCTATGAGATGTTAACTCCCTCGCCTGGTGTACAGGAGGTCGTGGGTTCGATCCCGACTGACGACGCCTGCTGCTGCTGTATACTTGGAGTTTCCGCGTCTATCATCATCATCGTCACGGTGGCTATGAGATGTTAACTCCCTCGCCTGGTGTACAGGAGGTCGTGGGTTCGATCCCGACTGACGACGCCTGCTGCTGCTGTATATTTGGAGTTTCCGCGTCTCTCTCCCCGTGGTCACGTGGGATATTTTTTTTCCTCCACGTCCCTCCGTTATTTTTTCTTTTCCGCAAGCGTCGACGGCGATGACGACGATGATGATGATGAGACACTTCGTTGAGCTATCGCTTGCGGGTCGCTTACCCAGGGTCGCTTACCCTGGTTAACGGTCAAGTAAAAAAAAACCGCCACCCTTTCATCAACCCCGAGATGTTGGGGCCCAGTCATTCCTCATCCTCCCCATCCTCCTCTCTCCCTGCTGCTCGTCCTGATGAACGATGACCCCCTCCCCTCCCCTCTCTCTCTCTTCATCTTCTTGGTTCTTTTGGTAAAGTCACCACGTAGAAGGGAAACAATAAAATAATAAAAATGTAAAACTATACAATTCTCACGACGTTTCGACTGCAACACGAGCAATCAGCACCAGGTGTGGTTTTCACACCTGGTCATGATTTCTTGTGTTGCAGTCGAAACACCTGATGATGATTGCTTGTGTTGCAGTCGAAACGTCGTGAGAATTTCATTGTTTTATATATATTTTTATTTTATTTTATTGTTTCCCTTCTAACGTGGTGACTTTACCGAAAGAACCAATAATATGAATCCCTGCAGTCACGAAAGCTTTAAATCAAAAATCTCTTCATCTTGTTTGCCTCTGTCCCAGCCTCCCGTTCGCTTCTGTCTGTAATATAACACCTAATCATGTTGCGCAATACAACGTCGCCATTGCCGCTCCGCTGTTCGCGGGCATGGTGTCGAGGTCCGACGTTTGAACGGCGGACCGGCGTGAGTTTTGTTTTTTTTTGCCACGAAGCACAGAAGCCCGCCGCCGGCTAATCGCTCGGTCATTGGTCGGATGTCGGCGACGTCGCAGCGTCGGTGTGGCGAGGGGCCACCCACTGCTAACCACCCCCGCGGGCAACTGGCCCAGACTACCCACACTGCCCACACTACTAAGACTGCCCACACTACCCAGACTACCCAGTCTACCCAGACTACCCAGACTGCCCAGTCTACTAAGACTGCCCACACTACCCAGACTACCCACACTACCCAGTCTACCCAGACTACCCAGACTGCCCAGTCTACCCA